CTCCCAATTTATTTTACCAACAAGACATGGCAGGTGAGACAAGGGGGTGCCCTCAGGGCATTGTTGGCATGGCCACAGAGCCTCCAGGGGCATCAGAGCCACTCCTGGGGACACCGCCCCATGACATCCATATATACTATCTAAATGGACTACAGAAAAAGCTCTAACATTGCATTCCATTGGCTAATTTAACCAACTGTGTCAGAAGGTACAAACTTTATTGATTTTAAAGAAACTGCATCAGCATAGAGCAATGGTATATTTGATATATTTCAACAAACAGATGTAAACATGTCTCTTTCCTGCATACCTGGTACATCACAAGGTGGATAAGGATCTTTATCTTCATCTTCTCCTTCTCCATATTCAGCAATTGTTACCTATGATAATGGAAGAGACATAGGGGCTAAGTCCAGACAGTCAAAAAGCCAGAGGCTGAATCGATTCAGTCTTTGCAGGTTAGTCTAAACTGCAGAGATTAAACTGAGAAACAACTGGAAACATTTATTTTTGGCTCAGGAAATGCAGCCACATGCCTGCAGTAGCTTAGGCCAGAGGCCAGGGGGCACTAGAGCATGCCTCTCTGGCATGTAGCCAGCATGGGCAGTGTGTTCGCTTCCTGTTCCTGCTGCCCCCAAGGTCTCTGGCATTTGCAGTCCGGACTCACACCAGCAGGACTCTCCAGGTTTGCTCATCACTTCCTCTTCCTGCTTCCAGGTGCCCCTGGGACTCCAGTTTAACCCCCATTCCTGGCGCCAGACCCCAGCTGGAGTTTGTCTGGGCAGGGGGGCAGTCCCTGCCTCCCCTCCTCCCCAACCCTTCTCTGCTGGAGCAGATAGGCCAGCCCAAGGCTGGAAAGCATGCTGGGATGCTGGGGGACTGTGATTTAACTTGAACTAGGAAAGGGTCTGGGACAGAAGTTTCATAAACTGGTTTGATCCAAATCACTAAAGTCTGATACTACATTCAACCAGGTTTATCTTACACCAGTTTCAGCCATTTGGAAACTGGTTTATGTGCACTGAACTTCTGTTCTGTTACAGGTTTATACCAGTTTCTGATGACTTAAACCAGTTTATGTGTAACTTCTGCCCCTAGAGACATTACAGCTATGCATTTAGTTGAAGCAAATGTCAAACTGAAGCCAAGCATTCAGTGCCAAAGAAGTCAGGCACATGCTTACAGCTAGAGTGTTTCAAGATTCAGAGTGGCTCTTATGAGACTGGAAGTAGAGAAGGGAGACAGCTGATTTTTTTTAAGTTTGTTTAAAATAACTTCATGTATTTTTATTGTGGTTACATACTTATGGATCTGTAGACTGAAACAGAGATAAAACCAAGAGGCATCTGTAGAAATTGCATGGGGTGGTTTAATATTCCTATATAAAGTTAATCATTTACTACCACTGTCCAGATGACTCTTTTAGCAGGAAATTCACAACGTGCCTAAGTTAATGCTGAAATGTGCCGAAGTTAACTTGTTGCATGCTCTGAGACTCCTCACCCAGGGAGTTTGCAGGGGTTTGAGTGCCAAATGCTAGGAACTGCGAGCTTCTGTGTGGGCACATAAGGCCTTTGAGGGGCACTAAAACAGCCTTAGATGAATGGCAGCTTCTGACAGAGATGTAGAGAGCTCCTTCAGCACCCTGGGCAGAGCAGAGTTGGAGGAAGGTGACAAGAGCCAGAAGCACAATGGTAGGGTTTGTGCCCTGGGCAGCCATGGGGTCTGGCTGGTTCAGGACTCATGGGGGCAGAGGCAAAAGGGCTCTAGAGTCCAAGTAGCTGTGGGCTCCTGCTGTACAGGGGATAGAGCCAGGGCTACTCTAAGGTCCCAGCAGGTAGGGAGGAAGGTGCCCTCCAGCCAAGGAGTTAAGCCTGTTGCCTGTCCTGCCACAGGTGCCACTGAATGCTATGTTGAGTGTCAATATAACCCCCTAATTCAGTGGCAGGTATGAGCATTTATCACCACTTATCACCTTCTCCCATTATAAACAGTTGGAGCCAGTAGCTGTCAGAGTAGCAGCACAGCCACATCTGTTCTGGCACTCCCTTGCCTCCACTCTGGTGCCCCTCCTTAATCAGCACCTGGGGCTTGTGCCCCCTCACCTATCTCTAGTTATACTACCAGTTTCTGTATACCAGATATCGGAGTGCTGGTAGCAGTGCTTCAGGTGAACAGGCTGAGCACAGAGTTTCCTTTTCCCATCCAGGGGAAAAACCATCACATAGGCAACAATATGGAGCTAAAAAAGAAATTCAATAGGGTGCTGACAGATGTAGAAAAAACAAAACAAAACAGCGCTTTACTGGGAGAATAGCATCAGTTTGACCCAGCTCCCCAACCCAGTGCACTGAACTAAGTAAAGTTCCGTTTTGTTTTGTTTTTTCCCCATATGTGTAAGTATCCACAATGCACTTCTGAGCTGATTTAGTGGAAACAACAGAACCACTTTGTAACAAAATAAAAATATATCTAATAAAATAAACACCTTACTATCCTTGGACTTCTTCTGGTCACCTTCCGATTTGTCACCTTTTTTATTTTCCAGACTCTCTTTTCTACAAAAAACAAAAACAAATAAACCTGATCATGTAAAGACTGAAGGACTAGAAAAAGGAAGCTTTTTAATTGCTGCCACCCATTCTTCTGAGAGAAGAGATCATGCGTACAGAAATACAGGTACTCAGTTTGAAGTGGCATTTACAAAAAACATGACACGTGAGCCACAAAATTAATAAAGCTTGCTTCATCACAATGTCCAGATTATTTAACAGATTTTCATTTTAAATATAAATCCAGAAGGTGATCCCTAAAAATGTAATGCATTATCCTCACCCCATTACTAGTAGGTAAATTGTGCTCTTGGATACAATCCTATTGACTTCCACAGGACTAACATGACTTTGAAGGGAGACTTTATCTTGCATATATAAGGCTTGTAGAACTGGTTCAAATGGGAGTTGCACACATACCTCTAGGGATACATACTTGTTCTAACTGCACAGTAAATCCTATTTTTCCTAGCATTTCAATATCAACTGGATTATGACTATCTTAAGTAATTCCATCTTTCGACTTTTTGGCCAACTTCAAACTAAAATTACATCATCTTGGCGTTAGTTTAAAGTGTATGGTATGCTCTTTCCTTTTTTCTAATTCTGAACTCTTTGTAGCTGTTTCCATAAATCAGTATAAACTGTTTATGAATCAATACATTACAAAACAGGAGAATCCTGCACTCCCATCAAATGTGTCAGCATTCATTTACCTGGCATTCTTTTTCCTCTCCTTTTCTTCTGCTTCTTCTTTCTGAGCTGTATTCAGACTTTCAGCATCTGCCAAGTTATCCACAGCAATGGCCAAGAAGACATTTAGCAAGATATCTATTTCAAAACTGTTGTTAGGGCATTGTGCAGTACAACTTTGTGTTTGGCTTATTCCTTATCACTATGAAAAATGACAACGTGAGAGACATGAAACTTATGCTTCCAAGCTAAATGCAGAGATTTACAAAGCCAGATGTGTTGCTCATAACAGCATTTACTTTACTGAACCAAATTAAACTCCAGTATAACTTAATGGAAGGCAACTGTGTTGTATTAATGATACATAAGATCCACTGATTCCCCTGCAATAAAATATGAAGCACACTACTTAAAGAAAACTAGACATTTCTTAAAAGTGAATTAAAAAAAATTAAATAAATGTTTACATTGGCCTGGATAAGTTTCAAACATTACATACTGTCATTCAGATACTAGTTCTACTTAAAAGAAAACTAGACATTTCTTAAAAGTGAATTAAAAAAAATTAAATAAATGTTTACATTGGCCTGGATAAGTTTCAAACATTACATACTGTCACTCAGATACTAGTTCAGGTACTTTAAAGAGTGAATTCTTACACTGCAGTATTTACTTTATGTGCTGCATTTCAGGCCAAGTCCAGTACTTCACATTGTATAAGTGAAGTACAAATTTCAATAGAAATACCATAAATGTATAATGTAAGGAATCTAATATTTGGTCCTGTTTATTGGCTCTTAGTTTCAGGAAATAACTAGTGGCCTGGTTGAGCTGTAACTTAGTGAACAAAAGAGTTTGCTTGCTGAAGGCAAAAAAGGGTCCTAGGAAGGTAAACCCTTTTGTGGCACTAGTCTCAGACAGCTCCACATTCCTAGGAATCAATTCCAGATGGTTGGGGCTCACTAATACGACATACATGCCTCAATACTACCAGGGCTGCCTCAGTGACTGAAAAGAAGGGATGAGAAATCACTGGTATGGAGAACCGGGTATTTCCATGCATTTCGAAAGGGAGAGTAACCAACAGAAAATTATTAAGCAGAACAAGGTTGCTTTCCCATCGGGGGGGGGAGGAATTCTGGTTCTTTTCAGTGTAGTGGGAAGAGATGCTCAGGGAGTTGGCAAGTGCCTTGTTAGGGAAGACAGAACAGGAGGAAACATCTGTTTACCAAGTCTGTAATAACCAGAATGAACATGCTGGGTCTCAGAAATTACATCCATTATACAGAAATCATGTATATGCCCTAAGTGTCATCATAATTCAGTCCTCTTTAATCTCTAGCCCATGGCTGTGGTCAAAAGCTGTTGCACTGAATGCTAATGTCACTTGGCAGAGTGAAAGGATACAGTTACCACAAATGAAGAGGATAATGAAGTATATGCAGACTATCATGCCTGATGATGATGGACCACCATATGCCATAATGCCATCATACATAACAGCATTCCAGTCTTCACCGGTTAGGATCTACAAAGCAAATACATTATTAGTAACTAGTGAATGGTAAAAGAGGATTGTGAATGCTCCATCTACAACATATTTAGCATTTTCTTTTTATACAAAATAATTAACTGTCCATTTTACTTGGGAGGATTTATGTGTTATAATAGCATGCTTATTATTATTACTGGAAGCTCAGGTTTATATCTACCAATTTTTATTTATATTAAACACTGATGCCAGTGAACTGCATTTCTAAAGACCTAATATGGCTTACAAGTCTAAGCTTAGGTACACATTTTTAAGAATCTTAGCCACAAACTGTTTCCCAAAAGGTACATAACATCATGTACATATGTACTTTGGGCAAGATTTAGTATCTGTTCGAACTGTGTAGAAGTCCTGAAAAAAATCATCATGGTGATGTTCTCTATGGCTAAGTGAAGACAGTCAAAAAGTCCAAGGTTGAATTGATTCCGTCTTCACAAGTTAGTTTAAGCTGCATAGATTGAACTGAGAAAGAAGTGAACTGACATTCACTTTTGATTCCAGAAATGCAGCCACAAACCTACAGTACCCAGGCCAGAAGCTGGGGGGTGCTAGAGCACACCTCCCTGCTCTACTAGAGCAAACAGATTGGGCTACCCCACCCAACATGTGAAGGGGAGTTTGCAAGGTATCCTGGGATGCTGCAGGACAGTGAGTTAACTTGAACCTGGAGGGGATCTGGGACAGAAGTTCAGTAAAGCAATTTAACCTAAATCAGATACATCTGATACTACATCCATGCAAGTTTATCTTAAACCGGTTTCAGCTATTTTGAAACTGATTTACGTGCACTGAACTTCTGTTGTGTTACAGACTTGAACTAGTTTCCGATCACTTATACCAGTTTATGAGTAATTTCTGTCCCTAGCCTATGGATAAGTGCAAGAAAGTCACATACACAAATGCCAACAGTCAGTCTCCTGACTCTGTGTTCAGGTTCCTAACTTGTCTAGTTTTTAGAGATACGGGGAATCCAGCAGCAAACTTTGGAGCTTGGAATGAAAATGAGGAGATCTGAGCACCTCTGCAAATCAGACTACTTACTTTACATAGACAAATATGAAAGTGAATGAAGACATTTTAGGCAACAAAGTTTTAAAATGGTGAACTAATTTTTTAAAAGGACTCTTCTGGGTTAGAAAAGATCAAAATATTTTTAGGAAATTTAAGATCAATGGAAATGTTTCCGATCTGAATTTCTTGATATTTAAATTCAGCAGAAAGAGTTATTTGGTTTACTTCCAGCAGTCATCACAGAGCTTCAATGAGGCAACAGGATTCTGACAGAAAACTTACTGGCCAACTCCTAAGATTCCCTTCTGGTATGCACAAACTAAATGTTCCAGTACTGAGCTAATACCTCTAAGTTTGAATGTGAAAATGACTAGAAATTAAACTAAAACTGTCTAGCCTAATTTCCATGCTCCAGCTGCGACAAATTAAAAAATAGAGAAAAGAATAATTTACATTCTAAAAATCTGTTAGAAGTAACAAATATATATGTGTTAAATTGTATATATAGTATTTAACCTGACAATGTCCCCATAAAGAAATCCAACTTGTTGTGATATTAAGTGATATGATTCACTTAAGTAGGTAATCTGAAAATGTTTCTCAATTTATCCAGACAATAACATTTAAGTAACTACATTTCAGAAATAAACACATCTATCGTAAAACAATTAATGAACTTACAGGGAAAACATTAACTAAAATAAAATAACTTTCCAACTTTTTAACTAGTCATGCCTTTGATGGACAAAGAAGACTTAATGAAGTAACATGAAAGCTATGTTGCATAGATCGATCAAATAAGATATGAAACAAATGGCACAAATGGTGCAAAATTACTAGAGTATTTAATGAGCAAAATGTTACTTAAAGTAAATAGAATAGATAGCATTTGTGATTTTTCTGTAGGAGACAAGTTCACTTAAACAGCTTTGTTGTTTATCAAACGTAAAATGTTTTATAGGGGTGAAAAAAAAGTTACCTGGAATACAGTTAAAAGAGCTTGTGGAAAATTATCGAAGGTGCTCCGTTTTGTTTGAGTTTCATCAAAATTAAATTTGCCTCCAAACAGCTGCATTCCAAGCAATGAGAAGATTATGATGAAGAGGAAAAGCAGAAGCAACAGTGAAGCAATGGACTTCATTGAGTTTAACAAGGATGCTACCAAGTTGCTCAGGGATGTCCAGTGCCTATAAATTAAAATGCGCGTGTTAACACAAAAAAAACTGTAAAAGAACAGTGCGTGATGAAATATTACAAAAGAGTTGCTGATCCACCATACAAGTACCCATCAAATTAGTAGCAAGAAAATGAAATAATCTTTAGTCTTACCTTGTTACTTTAAAAATACGTAGAAGACGAACACAGCGAAACACTGAGATTCCAAGAGGTGACATAATTTCCAACTCCACCAATATGGTTTCAACAATGCCACCACAAACAACGAAGCAATCAAAACGATTAAAGAGGGATACAAAATAAGCCTGTAGGCCCAAGCTGTACATTTTTACTAACATTTCACAGGTGAATAAAGCCAGAAGAACTTTGTTGGCAATATCTGGAATAAAACATTAAGAAAATTATATTTTAAATATTTCTCATTTATTTGACAGACTTCATTTTTCACTTAGTTTATTGATATTCCATGCTAGATTGCAGCCTTTCAATACAGAGGAAAATAAACACCACTTCCTTTACTTATAACACCATTTTTTTCTCCACTTAACAAAAGAGGCATGAGACATCAAATTCTCTCCTTTCATCTATAAATTTTACATTATTGCACCTTTTTGTGCTTTTTATCTTGACAATGGCTTGAATAGGGAAGCAAATCTAAAGTTTAATAGCATCACTGTTTAAAAATTTGGCATTGTAGTTTTGCCTCTATACTGTGGAAATATGAGATATTTGATCATTTCCTATATTGTCTCTTTAACCTGGATGTTCTTAAAAGATAACAAATAAACTACCACATTTGCTTGAATATGTGATGACTGTGCTTATAAGATGACCCACCAATAATTAGATTCTATATATGGAAAATTCATAAATTTGATATAATTTGCCAGGTGCAGAATCTAATTATTGGAGGTTTGCCTTAAATTTGTCCTCCTCCCACTGCTACAATAGGGAAAATAAATCTGGAGGGTCAGGTAGTGCCTTTGCGCCCCCCCCCCCCCCAAATTCTTCCCACTGCAACCTCTTCCTCTTCCTTAGTCACACCCTGCCCTCCCCAAGCACATGGACATGAAGAGCAAATCTGAAAAAAACTGACCTTGAAATAAACATACCTTTAGTAATTTGCATATGGTACCCATAGACTTAATTGACACAAAATTGATGCACTTTACCTTTTTTTCAAACTAGACAATGTATTTGTGTTTTTGTTGTATGCAAATGTATGACAAGGACCTTTTTCCACATGGTGATTGGGGGAATAAAAAAAACCCTTGTCTTGTATTTGAGTAAGTGTGGTACAAAAAGGGTAAATGCAAATGTAGCCAATGGGAGTTTTCAGTTATCTGTAATCAAAACAGGAAAAATGGTCTTTGATTGTACCTTGGATCTGGGTCAACCAGTTAGGTTGATTGTAATGCTCCGATGAGATAGTCAATGTGTTTAGAAAGACTAAGACAATAACCAGCCAATAAAATGAGACCGATTTTACTGCAGCTCTACATCTTCTTCGATTGAATCGGTTCCAGCGACGCCAGCGTCGACTAAAAATTCAAATAAGAAAATCCTGTATTATACTACAGAAAAATATTACAGCATTTGTGCTTGAATAAGATTTCTATTTGGTGGGAGATCTGAGGGCATATGTCTATGTTTGTGAACACATGAGAAGCCATGAAAGAAATATAACCTAGACTGCAGCAGCAGCAGAATGATGGTATTTGTCCTACCTAACCCAATATCCCGGTGCCTAGGGCACTCACATTACATCATGGCATTTCAAGATGTAAGCAGAGGCCCAAGCATATTTAATCTGAAGTAAAGAGCCCAAGAGGCAGCTTCAGAGCAAGATTCAGATATGGAATCAGCAAAATTACATTAAAACACACCATCTCTAATTTTGAGTTCAACTAAGGCAGGAAGAACCATGCTCTGGCAAGGCTGCTAGCCTGGCACTCATGAGTTCTGGGTATTCTGCTAAGTGTCAGACCTCCTCTGAAATCATGGACAAGCCACTTAAATTTTCGCTGTCTCACTTACCTTTGGTGGAGGCAGAGAAGTAGAGTAGATATATGAAGAATATGATGTTTATGAAGCACTCAGATATTATAATAATCGTACCAAATGGTACCAACTGACGAACAAAAACCACAGGTGTAGATCGGGCTTTCAATGGGCTGTAGACATGCTGCCATCACTCTCTCCCCCAACCCTCTTCCCTTCTCAGGAAGGAATGGGGCCCAGACCAGGCACCATCTTGGCCACCTGAATGGCAAGAAACATACCCGGCCAGCCGGCAGGCCCTATAAACCCATTAGACTTCCCTGGATGCATACTGCCAAAGACCAACACATAAAAGTGCCCTTGGCATTGCTATTTAGTGGTGACTAAGGCAGGGACGGAGGGGGTCTCACTTTATTGTTAGGCTCCTTTTGAACTTAGCATTATGTTTTTTGGGGAAGAGGGAGAAATTTAGTGTTTTATATGTTGGGAGGGTGACAGCCACAGCCCATCTGTAGGAGATGGGCTACAGGCTTGGAAGAGACCTTGGGGGATACTGGGGGAGAGGGAATCTCACCCTGGGGTAAGGCAGCATGATAGGGGTGCTTGGGTGTGGAGTGGGGGGAGTAGAGTGAGGTTTCTTGTATCAAGATACTAGTGATAGCTCAGAAGCATGTTTGGGATTGGCAAAAGGGTTGCATTTTGGGGGTCGGGCTGGGCAGGGAAGTGGTGGTTGGTAGAGGAAAGAGTTGGAGTTCTCTGGTTTTGGGGTATTGTTTGTTTATTGCAAACTGCTCTGAGTCTTTTGGATAGAGCAAGAAAGAAATCTGACAAATAAATAAGTAAGCAAACATGTGGGATAGCAAATCTCAGCCTCCTGCAACAAGGGCTTAAAATCTGTGCAAGATTATCAGTGGGATCTGGAAACAGCTTCAAAATAAAAAAAATATGAATTTCAGTGTGTGAATCTGAACCTTCTCCATTATGACGTAATGCTTCTTAAAACTGAAATTTACAGGGGGTTACTACTTTTCATTCTAAAAAATTCTATTTTTATTTATATTCTATGATACCTAAATTGCTACAAATAATTAAATAAAAATCTTATAGCCTCTGTACTTATCATGTATATAGTAAAAGCCACGTTATCTGGCACTTCATTAACCAGCATGCTCTATTAACCGACATGCCAGTCGACATTGGTTGACGCAGCAAAAGCGAAACCGGAAGTGGGACTTCCAGTTTCACCGAGTCCCACTTCAGGTCATGGCCCGGGGCAAAGCAGACTACACAGGGCCCCCTTCCCTGTCCCCTGGCACACTGACGCCTGGAGAGGGGTGAGAGGGGCAGTGCGGTGCCTATCCCCCGGCACACTGACTCACCAGATGCAGCGGGAGGGGTGTCTTTGCCCAACCAGGCAAAGACGCCTCAGGTAACCAGCATATTTGGTTATCTGGCACCCCCATTCCCCATGGTTGTCAGATAATAGAGCTTTTGCTATATATTGGAAAAGTTCTAATGGGCCTCAAGTAGAAAATCCACTATATAAGGGTTCATAAAAATAAATAATCTTGGCAAAACACTCAAGCACTGATTGAATTCCTTTCAGTCACCTTAAACTGGTGTTAATCATTATGGAAAATAGTATTAGTGCATTATGAAAATGTTTCATAGCCTATACCTAATGATAATCATATGAAGAAAAATCCCTTACACTAAACTAACTTGATACTGTGAATGTTCTTGGCTTGCCAACTTCCTGCTAAACTGCATTACGTTCTTAACAATCATACTTGTAAAATATAACCCAAACTTACATAACAGAAGTCAGTAAAAAGAGAATAATGCCCCTAGAGCTTGACTGTGGCTGCATCTACACGACACTAACTGTGCAGTTGTTACTGTACAGTTATTTAGTACTTGTATACACAAGTAGTAAATTATACAAGTACTAAATGTTTGTGCAGTAACCAGTAGGCCAGTGTGAAAAGGGAAGTATTTGATTCGGATTTGGATCTGGCAGATTCGGAGGACAGTGATTCGAATCAGAGATTTGGATCACTGTCCTGAATTGATTCAGCCAAATTGGCTTCGGAAGATTAGGCGCTGATTTGGAGAGATTTGGTCATTAGGATCAGCCAGCAAGAGGCAGGCATAGCCAGGCAGCTGCAGGTTCTCTTGCAGCTCCTCCGGCTGTGACTGCCTCTCCCTGGGTGGGGGGAGCTGCGGGAGAAGCCCCCTTGGCTTCCCTGCCCAACCCCAGCCCCCACTCACTGGCTGCAGCAACGGCAATCAGGGGCCTCTGAGGGCTCATGGCAGAGTCCCCCCGCACAGTATGGGGTAGCGAGGGGCATTGGGGATCGCTCCCCCACCTGGCACCTGCATGGCATCCCCATGGCACAGATGCAGTGCAGCTCAGCAGGGAACTGCACACTGCCTGTGAGCTGGAGTCACTGGGGGTGAGCAGTGCTAGACTCTGGCTGACTGCTGGAGCCACCCCAGCTCCCAGACAGTGCCCTGCTGAGCCGTGCTGCACCCATGCCATGGGGCAGCTTCTACATGGGTGCCAAGTGGGAGGGGGGGTGATCCCTGCTGCCCCATGCTGCACAGTGGGGCTCTGCCATGAGCCCTCAGAGGCCTTCTATCACCACTGCCAGACCCAGTGAGGGCAGGGCTTCTTTGTTTTTTTAAAGTGCCAGGAGGATGGGGCCAGGCAGGGGATGGGGCCGGACAGGGCAGCCAAGGGGGCTTCTCCCATGGCTCCTCTGGCTGTACCTACCTCTGCCCTGGTATGGGGTATGGGGGGAAACGGTTTTTGAGGAAACTGATGGAGAAATTGTTGGAGTTAACAGTGATTCTGAGTAGGGCAGAGAAAGTCCAGTCAGAATTGTAGAAAATTATCTAAATGTCCAAAGGCCCCTACTTTGTCAGCTTCTCTTGTTGCTTTCCCCTCCCCGAGTAACATACCCCTCCCTGACCTGGCTGGGCAGCTTGTCCCAGCCCCAATCCCTCCCTCCTCCATGCCCCTTCCCCGCCTTGTCCCCCAACAGACTTACCAGCTAGAGACAGCTATCAGCTGTCTGTTTAGTCTATGGCCAAATCTCTGAATTGGCTGAATCTTTTCTGAAGTTTTTCCAAATTGATTCAGATGCTTCAAATCAATTCAGAGCTTTTAATTGGTCTCCCAATTCAATTCGGAGAGTCAGTTCCCAAATCAGGCCAAATCTCCTCCAAATCAAATCAGCTATCAAAGCTTCGTGCAGCCCTAATAACCAGAGTTAATGTGCAGTAGTATCACCAAACAGCTCTTAGATGACACTGACTGCACAGTAGCTTATTACTACTGTGCAGTCAGCATCTCATGTAGACTCAACCTGTTTGTGGGAGTGGCAGCACTCATATAGTCCACTAAACACAATGAAAAGACTTCTGTTGACTTCAGTGACCTTTAATCAGGCCTAAACCCTTACATATTGAGAGTTTTAAAACCAATGACAGAAAGGTATAGCTAAATGCCTGTGACAGTCTTTGAAAATATAGCCCAAAAAACGCATTTTTCAGTGTTTGCACAATGTTTGCTGCTTTAGTTTAAATAAGCCTTCAGCTTTCAAACAAAATCTCACAGGAAGATAATAGCTGATATTTATCATCTTTGTTAAAATCTTCACAACTACATACATACATGCATATACATCTATACACATACACAAAGAAACAGAAAAAAAGAAAAAGGGGGCATAACATTGAAATATGATGCTCCGTTATATAGTATCTTCATGTAAAAACAATTTTTGCACCATTTTCTCACATTTTGCATCAAAAGAAATTCTAATATTGTATTTTTGTATAGTGTAGGGTTGTTTTATCTGAAGTGAATCCACATATTGTACATATTCTTAATTACATGAAATGTTCCTGTTTTGAAATTATCAAGCCATTTTTCATAGCATTAGTAGCAGCTCTAAAGAAATATTAAACTCACAGGGGATGCTTAATTGATATAATTTGCTACCGCTAGCCAAACTATAAAATGAGCTCTTTTGCACACAAAGAATTTAACTTTTCATCTGTTCTGAGTTATTTATGAAAAAATGATGGCTTTTACAAAAACAAATCCATAAGCAAGCCACAATTTGCATAGTCCACAACTCTTCATTAATATAACTGTGGCTTCATAAGCACATTGAATAGGAGGGGTGACAAGATAGAAGCCTACCAGCCAACACAGGAGCAAACCTTTAGAGCAATTACCATCTTGAGCCTGTTGCTTAAAAAAACAAAACAGTAGGATCTATCCACATGTGCAAACCAGCAAAATCTCTTAGCCCCTTGCTTCAGAGAGAATACTCCAGTGCTGTCAGTAAAATTTCTGTAACAAAACCCAAAGCTAAAACTAGTTTTAGTGGGTCAAAAAGTCTGACTCCACATGCTTTTTTGTTAGAACCTTAATTATCTTGTTGATTATCTCTGTTGTTCAGTGAATAATCTGTGTAAAGAATATTAAGCCTGTGGATTGTTTGCAGACTGGTTAAGAATATATTTACTATCCACAATTCAATATATGTGCTATATGATTTGTCTCTTGTCATTGTTTTTGTTTAATGACTGAACTAGGCTTGATAGGACTGCATTTTCTGTTTGCAAATTTTATTTTTGGATGAAGGAAACAAAGTCAAATAAAAGAACATTTTTCAAGGACTGCAACAGAACATCCACCATGAACACACTCAGAATAGTACATATTCTTGCTTCTACTCATGCCTCTTGCTTTCTGCAATCATTCTTGTAAATAAAAACTCATTTACCCAAATGTTTGACTAAGTGACAGAAAGCCACAAATACCAGTGAAATGAATCTGGAAGTTTTAATCCCAAGAATGTTTGTGAATATATTTCTACTGTATTCATCAACCTCTCAGTAACATTTTCACCCAGTCAACTGAAAAACAGTAAATAATAATCATGTGTTGTCATCATGATGTATAGACCATCGCAATGAAAAAAGCACTGGAAAACGAAAGGGAAATACTGACCTGAACTTGGATTTTGAGATAGTTTGACTAAAAGAAAAGAAAAACATTTTTAAAAAACAGTCAGAAAAAATAATTTACACAATGCCTTTTCTTCAGTATGATAGAAAGGAAAATCAAAATACTGGAATTACTCAAAGTTTGTGCACAAAACTAAACTTTCAACATAAGGCTTCATGAATGCCGAAACACTACTGCCATAGTGCCATTGTTGTTTACTGATCTTTTTGCAAAATTCTCTATGACTATAGGAATTTTACATGAGAAAAAAGGAAATTTCTTCAAATTAAGTCTTGGCTCTGTAGGCTAGAAACTGTACATTTTGTGTAACCTAGTATGGAAGCTGCTTCAAAGTATGAGCACTACGATAATGAATAATGAAACATGCTGTGTATAAAATGATACCACATTCGTTTTACTAATGTATACTTTAGAGCACAGGTATTCACCAAGAAACAAGTTCTGGATATGCTTTGGAAACCTTCTGGAAGAATGGTGAATAAATGCAATAAATTAAAGTCATTTTCACAATTATTATGATTAGGTTTTGTCTACCAAAAGGTGCAATATTAAAAAAACAGCTAGAGAATGCATTACTTTTACCCAGTTTGTGAAATAAGGATATTCTGTATCATGCTTCAAATGGAAGACACTAATCTTCATTGCATTTCTTAAGTTACTTCTCCCCCCTTTTTTAGTGTTTTGAGGAAATAATTATAAACCCTTAAACCTGTGCAAATCTAAGGTTCAAATGAATAATCATTAATGAAATACAACTGTATTTACTGTGACTTCAGACTTTCACTATGCTCCAATTTTGTTCAGATAAAATATGACTTGGATTTTACATTAAGTGACTAAAAGCCAAAAACATTATGCATTAAACAAACCTTGAGTATTTCAAAGAAATAAAGTGAACAGGCAGTAGAGAAAATAGGCTCTTTTCAATTCTAGGACATTGGAAATACTTGGACATATTAATTGTATCTTTGTATACTCACCACAGCTTTCCACAGCATACGGGGTTCTCTCCTTCTCCACTGACATTCTCTGTGTTCACAGACTCAGTTTCACTAGTAGGCATACTTGCTGTTATGAGATATTATAATAAGTGTTAGATATGTAGCCAAAGCCAATCAGTTACACATGATCTATTTTTATTTCTTGTTCAAAAAGCACCTCTACTTTTTTCAGGTTTACCAAGTTCTACTGAAAAAGCTGAAGAATAGCAGCAGGAAGTTACTGTGTGCCAGAATTTTCATTATCCCTCCTTTGATGTCAAAGGTAAATGCACAGGATACAATAATGTATGGAGGTTCCCTCTGCAATTTTAGCAATTAAACATTACTATGGAAAATGTACAGTAACACACAGTGAAGAGTAGTTTCATCTAGAAGATGCTATCCTGAAAAAAGGAATACACCCGACCTAGCTTCTGCAATTTCTTTTGTATGATGTATTCCAGCCTCACCTTTGGGGTGATTTTGGAGCCATACGTACCAGAAGAAAGGTCAGGTAAAGAGCTCAGATAACATGCTTACACAATTCCCAGAACTGCAATGAAGGTCCTTTCTTCAAGAGAAGATACATATCAGACTCTGATACGTCTACCACAAGTAGACACCCTTTATCTTTATTTTCAAATTTAAAAAATGTAAAACATCAAGGCAAAGAACTAGGAAATAATTCCATCTGAGAGTATAAGGAAGTAAGAAACACGGAGAACAGTCCAATGGGTAGTAAGAGTAGTTAAGAGAACTTCCAATAACAAAAGGGACTGTTGAGTTGGTTATGTCAGTGACTTCTGCACATATAGTGAAATAATTAAGAACAGTTAGCTATTGCAGCTAATGGTATGTTAAGCAAAAACATCAGCATGTTGATCATGGCCACTGATCTCAAACTTAGTAGAGGAAGGACACACCTGCATGTATCAAAAGAAGTTGGAGAAGCAGGAACAAGAATATTTATCAGTAGTTTCTAGGCCTGAATGGTATTTCTTTGGCTGGTCAAGCTAGCCATTCTTGTTCTTAGCACACAGAACATGAAAGTTTATTCCTGACAAATTGATTTTCATAAATAGGGATAGCATCTACATTAGAAGTCAAGAGAATGCTGAAGCCACGTTGAAGTTACTGTAGAATGGCAAGAGCAACTGTCATGTAGATTTCTGCGTTTGGTATCTCAGCAAATATTTCTAGAACCATTGTGGACAGTTTGTTTTTGACAATACTCCTCAAACTGGTGATTCTAACTAAATGCTTTTTTAAGAAAGTACCTTTTTGTGATTTTTTTTTTCTACTTGTGACCAGAGCTAGATGAAAGGCTTGGAAGAGAGAAGGACCAGATTTCCATTTGTACCAAGGCTCCTTTCCACCCCTCTGACAAAGTTATATGCCCCTAACCGGGTATGAGAGTTGTGTCCTTTATTTGTCCAGAGATCACATACAGAATTGGTAGTGGCATTATAAGCTCCTCCACCTTACTGTCTTTCCAAACTGCCTTAGTCTCAGCTTAGCAAGACCCCCCTCCAAGTGGTAAATGGTAGTTCTACTTTGCAGATCCATTCAGATCTAGATTTAATGATGAGACTACCAGCTCTATAAGGAGCCAGATCCTCTGTGAGCATGAGATCCTCTTGGCAACAGCTTAGGATTTGGCTCTTCACAGATGACATATACTTACATGGAATGCCACACTACCTCATTGTAGCATTGCAGAGAAAATAAACAAGATCTAAAATATTCATGCAGTTGTTAAGAAAAAAAGAAGACAGCCCAGTCAGTACGCACTGCAAAATCTTCTTTCACGCAGTCCCTTTGTTTCAGATTGTTCTTTTAAATTAATGTAATCAATTTCTTTCTCCTTATCTTAAATCATATATATGCCTAATAAATGCACACATAGGCCTCATTTACAAAATCATGTCACTCTTTATAAATCAGACATGGCATTAGAAAAATGACAAATCAGTATGGTAAGTCTTGGATGAAAATTACAGTCTACAATTATAAAACAGATCTAAAGTGATATTATTTTAATCTTCAATGCTAAAGCAAATAAGTAGGAATGATTTCCCAGGCAAAATTCCACTGTAGAATAGATCAGTGTTTAGTCTGGAAAAATCTATATTGAAGATTGACACTTTGTACAAAGTTTAAGGAAAAAAATGTTAAACTTCTTTAGGATACTGTTTCATGCCTTCAGATGAAATAATTGCCAAGTTTCCTATCCTTGGTAAGTACTGAAATATTTCTGTTGTGCTGCATGACTTTGTAGATAAAAACATTTTTTTATCCATGGGGAAAGAAAAAAACCCATTTAACTTCTATGACATGAGCCGATATTCTTGAATAATATTAAATAAATATATGAATAAATAAATAAATTAAATTTAACTTGTTTTAAAGAAATAGAAAACCACCAGTCTTTCTTGATGAAAGGTAATAAAACCATAAATGCTTTGAAAAGAAGTCTGAATCTTTAACAACATCTTGGATTAATATAAGAATAACAACACAGTATCAGGACTTCCCTTTACAAAAGGGGTGGACAATTATTTCAACTGGAGGGCTGCTTAATAAGTTTGGATGAGCTGTCAAGGGACACAAGGGTAGCCCTGCCCCTTGGCAGGTGGCCCACCCTCTGGTTGCCATGTTGGGACTGGAAGTCCCACCCCTTGCCCCCAGAAGTACTCCCTTTGTGGGGACAGGGGGAATTGCCATTTTGGAACCAGAAGAAAAACAAATCATATACTAAAAGTCAAACATCTACTATACCATATTTTCATTTTATTTCAAAGGATATTTTTGTTATATATTCAATATACTGTTAACCTTCATGGCAACAAGGGCACACTGTTGGCTCAGATTCACCTTATTGTCCACTGTAACCCCCAGGTCCTTTTCTGCAGAGCTGCTGTATATGTATAGGCTGTGAGCCCCCAGCCTGTACTGGTGCATGGGATTGTTCCATCCTAAGTGCAGGACTTTGCACTTGTCCTTGTTGAACAGCATGAGATTTCTTTTGGTCCAATCCTCCAATTTATCTAGGTTTCTCTGAATCCAAACCCTACCCTCAAGCATATCTACTACTCCCACAGCTTGATGTTATCTGCAAATGTGCTGAGGGTGCACTCTATGCCATCTTCCAGGTTGTTGATGAAGATATTGAATAAACCGGTCCGGTCCGGTGGGTGACAAATTGGCTAGAGGGTCGCACCCAGAGAGTTGTAGTGGATGGGTCGGTATCAACCTGGAAGGGTGTGGGCAGTGGGGTCCTGCAGGGCTCGGTCCTTGGACCGATACTCTTCATTATCTTCATCAGCGACTTGGACAAGGGAGTGAAGTGTACTCTGTCCAAGTTTGCAGATGACACAAAACTGTGGGGAGAAGTGGACATGCCGGAGGGCAGGGAACAACTACAAGCAAACCTGGACAGGTTGGACATATGGGCGGAAAACAACAGAATGCAATTCAACAAGGAGAAATGCAAAGTGCTGCACCTAGGGAGGAAAAATGTCCAGCATACCTACTGCCTAGGAAATGACCTGCTTGGTGGAACGGAAGCGGAAAGGGATCTTGGAATCCTAGTGGACTCCAAGATGAACATGAGTCGTCAGTGTGATGAAGTCATTAGAAAAGCTAATGGCACTTTATTGTGCATCAGCAGATGCATGACGAACAGAACCAAGGAGGCGATAATTCCCCTCTATCGGGCGCTGGTCAGACCGCAGTTGGAATACTGAGTGCAATTTTGGGCGCCACCCTTCAAGAGG